CATTTCTGCTCTGTCCCAGCTCTAGCCTAGGAAGACCACAGGTCTGGCTGGAGTTCTCCAAAGACTCCAGCTCATTTTCCCATGTACACAAATTTACATGCGCTGCTTTCAGCAGTACCAATTGGCGTTAGGAATGGAAGACTCAATTATATTTTATTGTTATATTTAACAAGAAAGGCATAATATAAATTAGTAAGAATGTGTGTAAACTCAGTCTAATAACTATGAGAAGAAAGATCCTTTCCTCCTCCAGCACATGGGATTTATAGCCTGGTGCAATGTAATCACGTTTATGTGAGCGCAAGCATAATAAACCGCAGGAATTCACACTGCAGTGAATGATAACGTAGACGTAACGCTAATGATATTCAGCCCCACGCCTGAAACACTGAACATAACCTTGTAATTTGGGTAGCAGAGACAATAGAGGGAGATTGCTTTGTTTTGTGGTGGTTTTCTAAGGGAAGGACACTAACCAAAGACTTAAAGCAATCAAAACAAAATGGGCTAACACCCTCAAAAGCTGGTGTTTATAGCCCTTATCTTCCATTTTCCGTGTACATTAAGAGTATGATCCCGGTAATTCCTCTAATGTCCCTCCCGAGACCTCCTCACCCTTGCATGGCTGCAGGAACGGGCGCGCGCCCGCAATCCAAGACATGATCCAAGCCGTGTTCCTGCTTCCGTGCAATCCAAGCCGTGTTCCTGGCTTCCTTGCACAGCCCTCAAGGGTGTGCAGGGCTCTGGGGTAAGCAAGGAGCAGCTCCCTTGGCTTCCTCAAGCCCCTGCCTCAATAACAGCCCCTCGCTTGGGTTTGGAAGGCAGCAGCTTCAGCCCCTCCATTGGGCCACAGGATTTGTGTTTTTCAGGGGAAAACCACCTGCAATTGAGACCTTGTGCACAAAATGTAATTTTGGTGTTGGTAGCTAAGCTCAACATCACCCCAGGTACCCTACGCGGCTTCCCCGGCAGCGACCTACATTGCAGACAGAGGATATTCGGCCTGGATTCTAGCTTAAGTACTCACTACACCCACAGGACAAATTAAAGCACAATGTTGGGGTTTTTGATTGAAGGTAGGCAAGCAGGAAAATCATACGGGAGTCCTTGTTTAACGTCTGCCAGAAATGTGAGGGGCTTTTGCGCAAAATCCTGCTCTTTCCTGCTCTATCTGCTCTGAAACCCAGCTCACAGCCCCACTGGCGTTGGACAGAGCTGCTTGTTGGCCTTTTATGCTGCAATAAAATGCCTTGCACATGTCCTTTCTTAAAAATAAACACAAAAGGGATTTTTCCAAATTTGAAAAAAAAAAAGAATCCAAATAAACAATCCCTGTCCTGGAATAGCTCCGTCTCCCTTGGTTATACATCCTTGGTCTCACTCAAGGGAGTTCTTTCAATTGCTGCTAATATGCTACTGAACATTATGTCTTCTGTTAAGAGTGAGGTTCCTTAATGCAACCCACCTTATGGTCACAGGAAAGGGCTGGCTGGTGATGGGCAACGGAGCATTTGGTACCTTGCTTTGCAGAAGCTCAGCCGCAAAAAGGGTTAATTGATCTTTGCAGGTAGGTGTACCCAAGGTCAGGATTTTCTC